AAGGCACCGCAGGTGTGAAAAAAATCGCTGGGCAGAATCGTTTAAAGAGCGAGATTTGGCTCTTCTTCTCTCATTTTTCACTTGGTTGGGGCGATGTTGGAGAGCTTCAAGGAGGGATTTTCGTCATCTATGTCAAGGTAAGTGATTCCCGCATATTGTGAGTTAAATACAAGATTTATACATGGATTCAAGCATGAAAATTTGTAAAAAATTGGGATGTTGAAGAAAAACCTAGAAATTGGTATTCTTGGATTTTGATCACGAATTTGGGCATGAAATTGAGAATAAATTATATATTTGAGTTTGTAGTGCTATGAATAGTATTTGTCTTCGAAAGTTTTCGGAATCCGGGCACGTGGCCCCGAGGGTTGCTTTATCGATTTTTCGAGCGGAGTTGGAAATGGTTATAAATTAATTAATTATGAGTATTAGAGTATATCTTGATTGGATTGCATCTTATTTGACTAGTTTTGGATCGACGGTCACCGGGATGAGGTGTTAGGGCAGAGTTGGAGCCGGTTTTGGAATGTCAGAGTGAGGTAAGTCTCCTGTCTAACTCTGTGAGGGGGAAATTACCCGGGTAGACTTAGGTTCACACCCTGCTATACTTGTACTATAGGAATTATCCTTGCTCGTTTAATTCTTTATTTTTCACTTCTACTTGAGACTAGACTTGCTATTATAGAGACATCATGATTTTACGATTTGTCACCGAATAACTTTACTCCTCTTATGGCATGTTTCCGATATATATATATATATATATTTCATTGAAAGGTTTTTGTTAAAGAAATTGCAACTCACACGTTCTTTCGTGAGTGGGGTCAAGGACATGTCAAAGCCTCTTCTTCTAATGGGATCGGGCCATTCGCCTCGGTAGGATTTATGTACCACACTCTCATGGGAGCGGGCCATTCGCCTCGATAGTTTGAAAGATGTATCTATGATTCATGCCGTTCGAACCTCGGCAGTGCACAGTTTAAATATTTATATTGAATCGGGCCGTACGCCTCTGCATTTCCTATATCATATTCCTCATGGAATCGTGCGTAATATTTGGCAATAAGCCAGTGTATCTGTGAGTTTTCCCGATTTGAGTTATGACAATCTATCTGATGAGATCCACTATATCTATACATATGCTCCGAATAAGGAGGGAATTTCTAATAGAGAGCTTGAGTTCCTCGTAAAGCGGGGGATTTGTACCACATGATTTATACTTGTTTACCTCATTTATTTACTCTGCCTCATACTTACTTACCTCTTTACTGTACCTGATGTTATTGTACCCCTAGTGAGTGTCGATGTCGACCCCTCATCACTACTTCTCCGGGGTTAGACTAGATACTTGTTGGGTACACGTTAATTACGTACTCATACTACACTTGCTGCACATTTTTTTGTGCAGGTACACATATGACTAGTGGCCTTGTGAGAGAATAGGTGTGTATGCCTGTGAAGACTTACGTGAGCTGCATTCCATATTACGACCCGCAGTCGGCAGAGTCTCCTTCGGAGGATTTATGTTTCTCCTGTCCAAATTTCTATTCCGGACAGATGCTGTATTTTATTTGACATTCCTAGTTGATGCTCATGCACTTGTGACACCGGGTTTTGGGGTGATTATGGGTAGTCCTGTATGGAAATTGTTAAAAATATTATTATTTACTCTGTCAATTTCATCTTTTACTATTTAATTGAAGAAAATATGATTTCAAAAATATTAAAATGAGAACCAAATTAAGTATTTATTTTTGGCTTGCCTGACAGCGGTGTCCGGCGCCATCACAGCCTTTAATGGATTTTGAGTCGTGACAGGGTATGTAGGGCGAAAATTACCTCATCCCGCGAAATAGGAGACTTCCAGTCACCCAACGCTCAGGGTAGCGTGAAATCTTTTGCATCTGTAAACTATGCCACGGGTAGCGCCCCACGCTACCCAGCACGCTACACTGGCCCATTTGTTCGTTTTGTTATCTTTTTGCTTAGAATTGTGCACTTTTGTCCCACATTTCCTCCGGTTGACTCTTATATATAAAATTGACACGAATTAGAAAAAATCATTACATTACACATCCAAATTCCACAAAATACGAGTAAAATACAAGGTGACATGCATATATATACACATACTTTAAGTCGAATATCAATATTCAAATAAAGCGTACGACAACTTCTCATGCCATTTCTATAACTTTTTACTGTCTTTCGCAAAATCCTTTTGATGTTCTTTTTGGCTGCGTAAACTTCTCCATATAACTGTAGTCTGTAAGTTGTGGAGTTTCGTTAGACGATTTTGAATTTTTCACAAGTCTCTCTCATAAGATCACTATTAAGATTGGTCGCGTTGTCTGTTACGATTGACTCTGGAATCCTGAATCGACAGACGATATTATTAATAACAAAGTTTGCCACCACCCTCTTCGTGTCTGCATTATAAGTTGAAGCTTTAACCCACTTTCACTACCCAAACACCCACAGTAGCCGTGACGGCTCCTAACACTGCTTGCTAAGCAAGCCATCAATCAATAAGCATAAATAAATGTAAATAGCAGTATTAAATAGTCTTAACAATGGAATAAGGTTAATTACCTAAAGTTAATAGATACAATACAACTAAGTATATTATCGTTACATAATTAAAATATAGAGTCTAATTTAGAAATATGATATTGTCTGAGAGATAGAACATCAACAACATAAACTAAGAGAAAATGGACTTCAAGGCCTGCGAATGCACAACAACGCAACGTCAAAATCTCCCAGCTAATCTGGATCCAGCACACGGGCAACTACCATGATCAACAAACCTGGATCTGCACACGAATTACAGAGTGTGGTGTGAGTACAACCGACCACATGTAGTCATTAAGTAGCAAACTTAACCTCAGACTGAAAGCAGTGATGAGTTTGGCAAGGTCCACTGCTAATTTTCCATAGACAACAATAGCAATAATAGTATAGTAATAGAATATGAAGGAAAACAACTCAAATTATAACACGCTCAACTTAACACAACAGAAAGAGAAATAGATATCTAACGGTCAAGGCATCAACTTCCACGGAGTCTACTTAGACAGGTATTTAACAAGATAAAACTGTAATATCATTCTCTAAACATCAAGTAGAGTCATCAATTACCAATTAGCTTGAGGGATAATATTGCTTTATGCCAGTTATACATGTCAAATCAACAAAGAATCACAATTTATATATCAAGTGTGAATAATCTCAGTAGATTCCTCATGCATGGCACAATGCCCTAGAATCATACTATAAGCATACTCATGGTGTCTGGTTCAAATCCCATTGACCCTCTCTCACACACATATACACACATACACTATCCGTACTATACGGGTGCCTTACACAAGTCTCTCACCAAGCATATATATGTGTCCCTGTGCTGCGCCCATAGTTTAATACCTGACTATGGAAGGACGGGTCCTTGTCAAAGCGCTAATCGGATCAAAATCAACGATCAATATCATCTAACCTAATATGGGGCATGACACATGCGTCACCTCACTATCCATACCGCTTAGCCCAATCTGGAGCCTGGCGTACACGTCACCATAAAAATCACTATCATATCGGCTCTATGGCCCAAGATCTATCATCAATCTGCTCAAGTCTCCATATGCCAACATCTCATAGAAACATAATTCAATATACCACACGGAATAAACCAATATACTACAATTCAGCTCAAACTCATGCCATGCACTAGGACATCAACAACATGTGAGATAATATATAAAAATTCCACAGAGATAGAGATATAACTTGCGTATATAATATCATGACTGAACAGTATGACAATGGCTAGGCAAATAGCTCAACGTAGCAAAAATAGCCCTATCATGTCTCAAACACATAAGCAAATATCCTATACATGATACCTAGCTTAAATAATAACTCACGTAGTCATGCAAATGGAGAAAACATGATATCAAAGAAACATGGTAGCAAAACAAGGCATATAATAGCCTAATATCTACCCGGATCATGAATAACAATGGTGCGCACATATGCGCTCGTTACCTCATATATACGTCACTCCAACATATAACAAATATCATAGATAATGAGGAAATTACCCTCAAACCAAGCTTAGGCAAGATACTTGTTGACGATCAATTTTGACCATTCCTTTTAAAATTAATTTATTTATACTTAATGGTTACAATAAATGTGTTGAAAGTATTTTCTAATCAATAATACCTGTTTTTGTAAAAAATAATTAGTAATTAATAATGTTGAAATTAATAATTTGGTATTACATAATTATAAGATATATCATACTTACTATTTTGAGACTATGAAAATAATCTTTATATACATTACATAGGTTTTATAATAAATTTAATAAGTGATTCCTTAATATTTAGTTAATTAGCCTACTATTTCAATAATTCAAAATTAATATCATAATTTGGAAAGTAAAATATTTTTATAAATAATTAAATAATTAGTAGTGTACTTGTTGATTATAATTTCTATTACATTTTATTAAAATAATTTAAGTTTATTTAAATTAATTATAAAAGGGTTAAAAAACCAAAAATACAGTTCCAAATACCTAATTAAACACAAATGGCTATTTTTTTTAAAATTGTTATTAAATTGTTTTAGCCCAAACGGACCTGATCAAGTCCACACAACCCCGTCTACTACACCTTGGCAATCCAGGCCACCCTCCCTAAGCCAATCAAACTCCACAACGTCACCCGTCCCAATTTACTCACAAAACAAACACAGCCCATCTAGCTCGTTGATTCATATCGTCAACAGACCATGAATTATCGTGTTATTCCATTTATTTTTAAAAGCTCGTCTCATTTTATCTCTGCCATTGGATCACAAGAATCTAACGGCCATCGATTTTTTCCCATAAATTATTTTAAAACTCCTAACTCTCAAAATATCAGAGTCGTTGATCAAATAATCCAATGGCTCCCGTTCCATCTCTTGTTTTAATCCCTAGAGATGACTAACTCCAACACCAAACCCTAATTCATTTCCCTTGCTGACCCAGCCGCCACCTTTCCTTTTCCTCTCTCTATTCTCTCTAATCCCTGACCCGTCAACCCCATAAACCTTGCACCAAATCATGAAAGGTTGTAAATAATGACCCCAAATCATCCCTTGTGCCCTGTCACTCTGAGAATCTTGCTAATATCTTCCTATTTTATCATATGAATTTGAAATCTCAAGTTTTCTGACTTACACTTAAAGATAAAACTTCAAGTCTTCAAGATCTTCTAGTGCTCCAACAAAATCAGAGAATGCATGGGCATCTCATTATGTTTATTCGAAATCAGAGGTCAAATGCAATTACCTCTAGATTTCCGGACTTTGTCCGATGGTCTTTCTTGCCTGCAATGGTTGTCTTCCACTCAAGTAAAACTCCTATGATTTTCCCTTCTAATCTTTGGATTTTCACTGACTTTGCTCGCATCATCAATCTTTTTGTCGCTCTCCACTATCGATTTGAATTTTTTTTTGAACTCTAAGGCTTCAATGGACACTATAAATAGAGCCTTCAATTCTCTCACCTAACACGACCTACCACCTAATACAGCATAGAAAATAAAATAGAATTAAAAAGCCCTAAACTTCTCACTGATTTTCTTTTCTTTCTCCGGTTCTGAGTTCATACACTGTCTGGACTTGAGTTTTTGTTTCCTAACGGCTAAATAAAAGGCTTTGCTTGATTTGCTGCTCTGCAAAAGGTCGGTGTACACTGACCCTCCCTTTCACTTAAATTATGTTTCTTTATTTAGTGATTTTGATGTATTCTCTTGGGTCATAATACATGTTTGGTAATTTTTGGATTGCCTATTATATTCTCTGTCGTTCTTATTAACATAAATGGTTATCCTCATGGTAATCATGTATTTCTAGTTAACATGTGACTTAATTGGATAACACCTGCTATAATGAAATTGTAAAATTTTTTGTTGAACTTTTGTTACTACTTTAAAAGACTTCTGATGTTCTTTTAACCTTGCCACCATGCTAACTTGACTAAACCGTGATCTCAGACCCATATAATGTTTTGCTAGGAACTTATGTTTGCTAATTCTGTATTGCACTAGTTGTAGGGTTTAATTATGTTATACTATTATTGATCCATGCCATGCTTAACCTGTATACCTTGAACGATATTTATTATGTACACTTAAGGATCCAATGTGAGTTTATTATTGTAGTCTGAACTCACTAGTTTAGTTGTCAGGCTATCTGCTTTTCAACTATGTCATGTCATCTTGTGAGTCTTGAAAAACATCACTGCACAATGAGCTTGCGTTTCTTTTGTTAGGTCTTGCATTTATGTATATGCCTAGCTATACTTATGAGCATTCTTATCTGAAGGATTAATGTCTAAGCCACTATACTTTTATTTATTCATAGAAGAGTAAGTTGAACCTTACGAGTTTTGACAGCTTAACAAAATGAAGAATTTGAGGAGAGAAGCTACTGTTTGAACTCATAGGCTCTAACAAATTCTTAATGTATGTTTCCCCAGTTAAAATGAATATTATTCTATGTTAATTGATTACCTCTATTCGTATAGGGTTAGTTATGATTCTGGATGTTTTGATTAAGAATTTAAGGAACTAGTGATCCTACTACTATGTTTGTATCATACTAAGATTGACCTTCTTGCCTACATGTGTATCACTCCCTAAACTGACCATACCAAGTTAAACTTTATCATGTTTGGGTTGATGCATTCACCTGTGTAACTGGACTAGTAATCTTACTATTAGTACCTTGCTTACTTCATGTGAAATCTCCATTGTTCTAAACTCTTATACTGAATTTGTTGGCTTGACCCTATGCTCCATCATGTTGTAGTTTTACACTCCTTAGGGATATATTTGTATGAGCTTGATTGTCTGCACTTGGACTGCTATGCTAATTCTGTTATCAAACACTCTCTGCTTATCTTTCATACTCATGCCTATGTACTTCATTGCCCTATCACATAATGAAGATTGTATAAGTCAACTATAATTCATTTATGGATTTGAGATAATCTTCTGATCATATTTGTTTTTCTTGAGTAGGATGTTATGCCTTGACTCTTACTGAACCCGGCGAGAATGTGATATCATGAATGATTTATGGAGAAAGTGATCGCCTATTAGAGTTGAAATCAATTTGCTAATTTACATAATCATGTTGATGCTCTCTAAAGATCCTATATAAAATTGTTAATTCATACACCTATTAGAATCCAAGACTTCCATGTGTTTAAACCCCTGATCAACTTAAGCCTGGAACTGTTAAGCATGAGGACCCTCTGTAAATTTGAACTATGTACCTATTCTATTTCATAAGTTGTTTGACTCAATAGTCTGACCTTTCGAAATGATCTGCCACTAATCGTTTCCCTTAATTATACGTGTTATCATTTTCTTTGGATGTTCTTCTGTATATAGGTGGTTCTTAACAATGAACTACACACTGGTGTTTAAGTTGTGATTTCTTTAGTATTGTCTGTTATTACATCTTCAAAATAACATTCAACATAGTTTCTCTTGGAAGTACAGATGCCTAAGCATGTGTATGATTGTTACAGTTGTACTAAAATTTGCATTGAATGCCTCATTGGCTTTTAAACCTATAGGGAAGAGTAAGTGTGAGTGGATAGGTGTATTTACGAGTGAGATTTAGTTTGTAGTTGAGATACTCTCCTTGACACATGCACTGCTCGGGGTCATTGAGACCCTTGTGAAATTTGAAGTGTCAGGGGCTCAAAGAGTGTCTTGGATATAAATGTAATCTCATCTTAAGCCCTTAATCATTGACAGTTACTAATCTCTTTAGGGTTAGTGTTTAATGAAGAAAAAGGCTTCACTATAACTTTCCTTACTCTGCCCGATCATACACAAGCTTATTTACATTTTTAACAACAAATATTTGTTATAGTCTCATTTGGACCTTATGTTTGATCTTATCTTCCTTTCAACATTTTGTTGGGTTTTTGTCACTAATTTCTTCCTTTTTCTCTTGAACATATAACTGAACTGGGCCTGCTGAGGTTTCAAAAATTCAGGCCCAAGTTCCAGCCTTTGAGTTTGATGTCATGGGAGCCGTTGCTGCTTGTATGTTGTTTGCTGGGCCTAACCTTCTTCAGACCCAAATTATTGAGTCCAATTCCCTTTCCTTCCTCATTAGAAGAATTAAATCTGTTATCTTTTCTTTACATGAGTATAATACAAACAAAATTGATTGAATGTTTTATTTTTCCTCAAACCTTCAAGGAACCTAGACAAGCCAAGATCTATAGGTAATAAAAGAAATCACTATTACATTACGATTAGTTATAATATTTTGGCGCTTTGGTCATTATTCTTCATTACATAAGATTTCACTTTTCATTATACTAACCATTTTAATGAAGTTCTTTGAAGTTCAAAACAGATTTTGAAAAGAAATGTAATTCTTCTTCTAAAGCCGGAATTGAAAAAGAAGATTTCAAAGTCAGCTCTTTCTATAAATAAAAATCAACTCGATTGGAATCAAACCTATTAAACCTTTCAATGTTTTTTCTTGAAACATGTTGCGTCAAATTGAAACAAATTTCCAAAGGTATATTTAAGGCCCATTTCTAACAGTCTTTATTCTACTAGACCTTTTTACAAGTAACCATGTTGTAAAGTGTTCAAACATAGCCACATCTTACACCTTTGCAAAATCATTTAGATGTAAATATTTTAAAAGGCTTTTACAAATTAAACCTATCTCCTCTTTATACAGTACATATATTATTTCCTTTCAAAATGATAAGTATTTAAACATGACATAGGTAAGACATACACTTTAAGCTTTAACTAAGAAAAATATAGAGATCTAATTCCTTAAACCTAGTCTAAGTCATATGGAGCTACCTCAGGTAGATATTAGGGGGTGCCTAATACCTTCCCCTTAAAAGAACAAGAACCCTTACCCAATTCTCATCGGTTAGTAGATTAATAGGATAATGATCTTAATAATTAAATAGGTACCCTAGTATACCTTTAAATATTAGGTGGTAACTCTCTTTTATCGTCAACAGGGAAACCACTAGTTGAATGTTATTTTGACTCGCGCAAAATAGTGTGCAACAACATGGCGACTCTGCTAGCAACTACACATAGGTTTTGACCTTATCAGACTTAGACTATACTTGGAATATAAGACTATTTATATACTACTTTAACTATGTTTAATTTGCAACTATGTTCTTACCTGTCTTACTTGCTCATTATGTACTTATCTGCTTACTTTAAATGTTATTATTAACATCCCTCTATCTGTTACCGCTTTATATATACTTTCTTCACACTCTTTTCTATCGAGTCTTGGCCGTACACTATCATACATAATGGCACGCGAGGGTTTTCTTTTACAACCCTCCTAACCTTCTTTTAAAATTCTTTAGTTCCAGAGAATGGCTTTTTCAGGACAAGTGACATAACTTCTCGCAGTATTCAGTCCAACTCAAAATTAGCGAACACTCTACTCTAGCAAACATAGGTCATATTGCATAAACCTTAAGTGAGTCGTTCCTTAGCATCAACACACAATTAGGAAAGCCACTCTAATTCCAATGGGTCATGAACCCAACGACATGACTTTTATGGAAAGATGAACTAATCATGATGAGATACTAATGATCCGAAGCAAACCCTTATCAACCCCTTTTCTCTACCCTCTTCGGAAATGGAAAACAACCAGAACATCCCCGAAATCAATATGGTAATGGGGGCACTGCACAAGCTCAAGAAATGGTGGAAAAACATCCGCCGAGAGCATGGAGACGAAATAAGGACGCACCTGGGAGCATTAACTACCTTACTGAACATTCAGGCCGATAGGGTACTCACCTGCTTGCTGATAGAGTTCTGGGATTCGACCAAGGTGGTTTTCAAGTTCGCTAATTGTAAGTTGGTGCCAGCATTGGAAGACGTTACCAGATTCTCAAAGCTACCATTTATAGGGAGGAAGCCGATACTACCGGTCACCATGCCTGGCTATACGTTTCTCGATGCTTTAGGTTTGGTGGGTGGTCGGAGCTTAAGGAACATCGAAGATGGATGGGTTAGCCTGGACCAATTGATTGATAGGTTTGGACATCGTGAGAGCTATGAATGGTACTTGGGAGAATTTCAGTGTGATCATGCAATCCGAGAAAGTCTCTGACCCATACCCTTCTCTTTGGCACTGTTAGGACTGCTGGTTTTCAAATAAAGAAGAGGATGGATTAATATCAACTTGCTTTTTGTGGTCTTGGAAACATTCAAGGGCAACCTCCAAGCCACCTTGATACCTACGGTGTTAGCAGAAATTCTCAGAGCATTGTCTACATGTTCCCGGGGGTATGATTCTTTCAAGGGCTACAACTTGTTGGTTCAAATATGGGCCATAAAGCACTTCTTTTAACAAGAGGCCACAGTTGATTACTTCGTAGGTGTTAGCAACATGATTCGTAGTCATAGTGAGGGAATGAAACATTGGGCTGATAGGACTCCTAAAAGTATTTCATTGAGCTGATAGGACTCGAGGGCATCAATCCATATGCACCCCTACAAGTTCTCAAGCACTCTGGGTTGATTCAATATGTACATCTCTTGATGAGGACGGTACTGTATGAAGACGAGTACAATGGATGGATCCCTATGCCAAGGATAAGGAGGCTTAAGGAGGAGTGGATCGATCTAATCACAATGTCAATGGGTCAGAATTCGTGGTGCACTCCAGAGTATTATGTCTCGATCAATGACGAAGATGAACTAGCCCGACCAAGCAGGGAAGGAAAATCCTGGCTGGAAGATGCAGTGGCAGCCTTGCAAATCTATCATGAGATTTTTCCGCACTACCTCATGACTACCTCCATGCACCGCCAAGTGGTCCCAGGGTTAATTGATCATATGCTGCCACCTCCCGAAGATAATGACCGAATGGTTGAGTGTATACAAATTGATCTGAGACACAATTAGAAGAAGACCTAAAGGAAGAGCCTGAATTCAATGATGATGAAGAAGAATTTGAAGAAGACCCGGAAGAAGAATAGGAAGAAGAAGAAGAGATGGGAATGATTCTGAGGATGGTTGTTAGAAGCTGGTTGATTTTACTCCTTGTCCCATCTTATATCTTATATCTCGAACCTATCCATTTCCTGACGGGCAAGTTTGTTGAGCCTATGTAAACTTATGAATGTTGAAAACATTAATGTAACATTTGCTCTCGCATGTTACAATCCAAATATTATTAATGAAAACTAGAGTTTGTCAAGGTCTACAGACGCCAAGGCAGCTACCTCGATAATCTCCGAAAGGCTGAAACTGCAAGATCAGCAACCACCGTGCCAAGAAACACCTGGATCTGCACACGAAGTGCAGGCTGTAGCGTGAGTATAACCAACTCAGTGAGTAAAAAGTCTAAACTTTGGTCTGAAAGTAGTGACGAGCTCAAACAGTATAGAAAAAGTATAGATTTTAACAATACAAAAAATGTAGACATGCTTCCAGGTTTAACAGTGTAGTTCAACGCAAATAAACTATTCCAAGTGTGACTGAAATGAATAATATGACATCTCTATATCTACATGCCAATATGAATACCGTATGTGATGCAACACACTGAAACCTCAAGTACTCACACTCTTTGACCACTTAATCTGACTGTCTCAATTCTCGCTCGTCACACTCAGTCACTCAGCACTGTACGGAACCTGTTGTGGCGTGCAACCCAATCCACATATAGCCCTAAGGCCTATTGTTGCGCGCAACCCTATCCACATATAGCCATAAGGCTTGTTGCAACGTGCAACCCGATCCACATATATAGCCATAAGGCTTGTTGCGTGTAACCTGATCCACGTATATAGCCATAAGGCTTGTTGCAGCATGCAACCCGATCCACATATATATCCATAAGGCTTGTTGCGGCGTGCAACCCGATCCACATATATATCACTCACTGCACGGCACTCAGGCCCCAACTCAGTCATCAATCTCTTCAGTCTTTCTGGCTCACAAATCTCATGCAAATTAGCCCAAAAGATGATATATGACACAACAATAATAGTAATAGAGACTCAGATATGATATGCAAATAATGGATATGACTGAGTACAAAATTGCTATCTAAGCAAATAATTCAACAACAGAAATGACCACAGTGGGTCTTAATAGGATAAACATATACCTTAATATGATTTCTAACACGAATCGGTAGCTCAATTACTTTAACACACAGATATCACATGAATGGCTAAAAGGTCTGATGACTACACAGTACCACAAAATCAACCGAATCATAATTTCTACGGTGAACGCCCACACGCCCATCACCCAGCATGTGCGTCACCTCAACACCAATCACATAACATATAATGCAGGGATTCGTACCCTCAGAACCAAGTTTAGAAGTGTAACATACCTCAAACCAAGCAAATCTATACTCCAATAAGCCCCTGCCTTGTGAATCAGCCTCCGAACGTCTCGAATCTAGCTACAAACAATTTGACAGAATAAACACGAGCTATAGAAATTAATTCCATATGAAAATGCTAAGTTCATAATAAAAAGTAGAAAAGCCAGCTCAAAAGTAAACCCCAAGCCCACGTCTCGGAACCCAACAAAAGTCACAAAATCCGAACATCCATTCGACCACAAGTCCAACCATACAAAATTTACCGAATTTCGACACCAAATCATCACTCAAATCCCCAATTTTAACTCTCCAATCCCTAGCCCAAAACTCCCAAAAATCCACGTCAAAAACACATAAACTAGGTGGAAAATTCAATGGGTAATCAATGTTATTGCATAAAAATGGTCAAAAGTCACTTATCTCAAGAGATCACGCAAAACCCCTCACAAAAATTGCCTTAATCCGAGCTTGCAAAGTCCAAAATAATAAAAATCTCGGAACCCTCGAATTTAAACACTGCCCAGGTATTTCCGCACCTGTAGAATTACTTTTGCGATAAAAATACTACTTCTATGGAAGTAACTTAAGTCCACAAGGTCCGCACTGTGCTCCATGTTTCGCACCTACGGATGCGCTTCTGCGACGACCCATCCGCTTCTGCGAAGAAAACCCATTCTCCTATTCTCCGCATCTGCGGAGCCCTGCTCGCATCTGCGGGCTCACAGATGCGGAAGACCCCTCATACCTACGACAAACCCCATACCAGCCCAGCTCCACTTCTATACTACATCAGTCGCACCTACGGCATTGCATCTGTGGCTAAA